AGAGGACATTTTCCTGCCTTTTTCTGACGGGGATTCATGAGACCACTTTATGCGGCTGAAAGGGCAGGGGGGAAAGTGCTAATGCAGGGATTTCTTTGCTTTGTGGTGTTCTTATTCTTCTCTGGGCTGGGGGACTTGGGCGTGAAGATGTTTCAACAGGCTATAAAAGGCTACAGGAGGAGCCCGGTGGGAATTTGAACTCTGTCCATGGTCTGATCATTTACTGGTTCCCTGGTTCCTCCCAGATCCGATCCACCCTTGTTCTGGGATTCTATGACTCCTTAGCCCCAGCACAAACCAGCACACCTAGAAAGCTTTTCTTCAAGACCAAATGATTTTTTTTTTCCTGCTGCCTTTAAAATCTTTTTGTATTTGCCCTGTTTTCAGGGGATGATGGATGCATGGATCTAACATACTGGCAAATTTTAGGGATATTGCACTCAGCTTTGCTACAGGAGTGTCACCCACCAGTGTAAGGTGAGTAGGTAAACCTGTATGTTTATTCCTGCAGGGGAGGGTTGCCAATTGGTTTAGAAGTTGTTTGAATTGGCTTGTTAAAACATCCAAACAAAAGCCTATTGTCCAAAAGAGCAGGAGGGGGGTCAAGTGGCAGGGGGCTGTAAAAACTGCCTTCAGGAGGATGTTATTACCTCATCACTGTGGCCATAAAGAAAAGCTTTCACCAGGAGAAAGTTTAACGAGTTCTATAAACGTTCAAAGAACCTCACAAAAGCTTCTCGGTTTGAGAACAACCCGAGATATTTCTCGATGAGCTTTCCATCAACCAGCACTCCCAGTCCTTCTCCCAAGGGCTGCTCCCAGTCCACTCTCTGCCCAGTTTGTGTTTGGGATTGCCCAGACTCACGAGCAGGACTTGGACTGGCTGGTCTTCCTGAGGTTCACACAATCCCACCTCTCCAGCCTGTCCAGGTCCCTCCGCATGCCCCATCCCTCCCCTCTAGGATCATTAGCTTGGACAGACTGGGAGGTCACGGATGCGGGAGCACTCTGAACATCCCTGCACTTGCTGCAGCCGCGGGAATTCCGTCTTTCCTGGTAACACACCTCAGGAAACACCCGCGGGGACACAATAAAGGTCACGCTGTGATCTCCAGAACGACGCAGACAGATAAGTGCCGGCCTTTGAATGTGGTTCAGAAATTCAAATGGGAGTTTCCTCGGGGCATCAGTAAATTCCACAGGGTCCCACTAAGGCCAGGTACACGGTGAATTGGGCAGCTCTGCTCCAGCATCGCTGCCTGCAGTGACTGCTCAGGAAACAGGGATGAAAGAAGCCACTCCCCGGCTGCAGCTTGCAAATATTCTGCCTAAAATAACCCAACAACCCTTATTAATTAATTATTTTAAGCCCAAAAGGGATTATTATTTTGTTACAATTCAGACAGGATCTGGCTTTTTTAATGGCTCTCTTCGAGTTGACTGGTGAACTACACAAGGCAGGGACTAAACCTCTCCAAACTCATGAAAATCAGTGGTAAATCTGAAACCTCAGCCCCAGAAACGCCTCATTTTATAACACCCTTAGCAATGGTTCCTTATCATGCTAAGATAGCAGAACCTAGAGATAAATCTGAAATTTAGAATGAGGCCAAAGCTTTAGCTGGAAATCTGCAGGGACTTCTTTGGAGCTATACCAGCTCCACAGCTACAAAATCATATTTGAATTTTCCTCTGGGGGGAATTCTGCTTATTAGTCCCTGAATTATGGGTTAGAGCTCTCAGTCTGCTTCAAGCAGCAGAGGAAATGCAATCTCCATATACGGGGCAGGTGAGCTGCGTGTTAAGTAACTTATTTGATTTTTCTAAATGTGACTGTTTTAGGAAAGGTTTGAGGTAATCATCCGGTCCTGTGGAAATGAATAAAAATAGGAAAGCCCCACTATGGTACTGTCCTATGGACTTTAAATTCACTGTGTGGGTTAGTGGCCTGGTTTGGTCTGAAATACAGCATATTTTCTTCCTAGTAGCAGGTGTGGGGCTGTGTTTTGGATTTAAGAGGAGAATAAAGTTGATAACACAGTTTTTATATAAGGGGAAGGGAAAGAGTGGAGGAAAGTCAGTCACAGAAAAGTCATATTTTATCCAAGAACAGGTTTCTATTTTTCTTTTGTGTATTTTGGGCAAACAACCAGCAGTGGCATCTTCAATAAATTGTTTTTAGTGATTTATCTCCAGAAAAACTGTTCTTACAGCTGTGGTCTTCTTTGACTTTCTGTCTAATTCTGAGCTAGAACCAGTTTTCCTCAGTGGAGGAAGCACAGCTCAAGAGGTTCAAAGTCAGAAAGCATTCTCCAAACTTCTTGGTGATAATCTTGTCATTCTGAATGCATTTTTCACACCTTGGGCAAAGAACCTCCCCCAGATTTCATCTTAAAAAGCAAGTTTCGATCCTCTGAGGTGAAGATGGACAGTTCAAAAGGAAGGAACACGTCTTGTAATGAACCAGAAACCAGGAGGTGAATCAAACTGATACAACAGGTCCAAAATTACTATGTTTGAGCCTTCTGATCTCAACAACACGGCTCTGGGACCTGGATACTTGAAAATAGCACACTTTGCTATAGAAAATATGGAAATAGTGGGGAGTTTTTTTCTTCAGAAGTTAGAAATGGAGGTGCACTGGCTTCCAGAAGATCTTCAAATGAAAAGGCCACTGTTTTTAATCAATTTTCCCCACCAGAGACACCAACATGCAGAACTCACACACAACTCCAGGCTCGCAGTGCCAAAAGCTTAAGCTTGAGGTATTGAATTTATTGGGTGCCTACATGTAGAATCAAACCATTTAGTAAAAGATGTCCACACAGATGTGTCACTGGGAATCACCCAAGGGAAGAGTTTAGCACCTCTGTTTCAACTCCTAGAAACACTCTGGAAAAAGGCAGAGAAGCTGCAAGGGAAGGAGGGAGGATGGAAGAGGATCCTGCAAGGATGGCCAGTGAACTCTAGAGATCCTGGCTTTCCCCTCCTGTTTCCATTATTCTTCCTGGTTTTAATGTGTTCACTGTTGAATATCCAAGCCCCAAATGCCAAAGGCCATGCTGTTACCACTCGAGTCACTGCAGCAGGGGCATGACAAACCCAGGTGCACGCTGGCTTGGTGGGCTTCCAGGGCTGTTCTCCGTGGTGTGAGAGCTGCAGGACAGGAGGGCTGGAGCAGAGGAGGAGCAGAGAACAGGCTTTCCAGCACTGCATGGCACACTCAGCCTTTCCAGAGCCTCCCGGCACGGCAGGAACAGGCCTTTCCGGTGCTGCGGCACACGGGGGACAGGCGCGTGAGGGGTGACAGGACAGGTGTTCCCACAGCACAGGGACAGGTGTGCTGGTGCCCGGCACTGCCATGGGGATGAGCGTCTCCAGCACAGCCACCTACGCCGGGCAGGCGCTGCAGGGCACGGGTGGCACCGTCGGGGCGCGGGGACAGCGCTGGCGCGCCCGGAGCCGTGCGGTACGTGGGGATGGTGCTGCTCCAGCTGGGGACGGGCACTGGATGCTGCCTGGGCAGCGTGGGATGGAGGGAGGTGCTGGGGGGGGCACGGCTGTGGTGGGTGTTGGTGCGTGGGGGCATCAGGGTTGGTGTGATGTGGGGTGAGTTGGCACAGAGCGGGGTGGGATGGGGTGGTCTGATGGTGGGCTGGGGGGGTGTTGGGTTGGTTGGTGGGGCAGGCTAGGGTGGCATGAGGGAGGTGGATGTGATGGGGGGCAGGTTGGGCTGATGTGGGCCAGGCTGGGGTGAGGAGGGCGAGGTCGAGATGATGTTCAGGAAGCCGGAGTGCGGAGGAGGTGGGTGTGATGTGGAGGAGGTTGATGTGCAGTGGGGCAGGTGGGTGTGATGTGGAGGAGGTCGGGGTGATGTGGAGGAGGTCAGGGTGATGTGGGGCAGGTGGGTGCGATGTGGAGGATGTTGATGTGCAGTGGGGCAGGCCGGGGTGCTGTGCAGGAGGTCAGGGTGATGAGGAGGGGGTGGATGTGGCATGCAGGAGGTCCCTGTGCTCCGCAGGAAGTTGATGTGACACGGAGAAGGTCCCTGTGCCGTGCAGGAGGTTGATGTGACACAGAGGAGGTGGATTTGGCACAGAGGAGGTGGATGTGGCAGGAGGTGGTCCCCATGACACAGAGGAGGTCTCCGTGCTGTCCCGGAGGGATGTGACAGGAGGGGGTCCCTGTGACACAGAGGAGGTCCCCATGCTGTGCAGGAGGTGGATGTGGCACAGAGGAGGTCCTCATGCTGTCCCGGAGGTGGATGTGACAGGAGGGGGTCCCTGTGACACAGAGGAGTCCCCCGTGCTGTCCCGGAGGTGGATGTGGCAGGAGGTGGTCCCCATGACACAGAGGAGGCCCCCATGCTGTCCCCGAGGTGGATGTGGCAGGAGGTGGTCCCCATGACACAGAGGAGGTCTCCGTGCTGTCCCGGAGGGGGATGTGACAGGAGGGGGTCCCTGTGACACAGAGGAGGTCCTCATGCTGTCCCGGAGGTGGATGTGACAGGAGGTGGTCCCCACGACACAGATGATGTCCCCGTGCTGTCCCGGAGGGGGATGTGACAGGAGGGGGTCCCCATGACACAGAGGAGGTCTCCGTGCTGTCCCCGAGGTCGGTCCCCCCAGGCCCGGTCCCCCAGCCGCTGCCGTTGCCATGGCGACCGCGCCCCCCCCCGCTCGCCCGCCCAAGTATTTCCGCCCCCCACGTGATGACAACAGCTCCGCACACGTGACGGAGGGCGCGCTGTCAATCAATCCGCTTCCCTCCAATCACCGCCCGCCCCTCCGGCCTCTGCCCCGCCTTCCGGAAGCGGGCGCTCCAATCGGTGCCGGCGCCGTTCCAGCGGTTTGACAGGCCCGGCGGAGCGGGGCGATGATTGACGTGGCGCTCATCCAGTCGCGGCTCGGAGACGCGGTCGGGGTCCCGCCCCCTCAGCGCGGGGGCCAATGGCGGGGCGGGCGGCGGCGCCGGCCCCGCCCCCCGGCACTGCGGTAATATGGCTCCGGAGCGGCGGCCGGGCCGGCGCCGCCGCCGCCATTAACCCCTGACAGCCCGGCGGCCCCGGCTCCGCGGGGACCCGCCGTGACCATGAGCTCGGCCGCCGGCCCCGCCGCCCTGCCGCCCGGCTCCGCCGCCCGCGCCCTGCACGTGGAGCTGCCCTCGCAGCAGGTACGGCCGGGCCTGCGGGCGGCCCGCGGGGCTGCCGTGGAGGGGGGTGCTCTGGGGTGAATAGGGGTGCTCCCGGAGTTGTTGGGTGTTCTGGGATGCACAGGGGGTGCTCCCGGAGATCTGGGGAGCCCTGGGGTGAATAGGGGTGCCCTGGGGTGAGTAGGGCTGCTCCCGGAGGTGTGAGGTGTTCTGGAGCAAATAGGGGTGTCCTGGGGTGAATGGAGGTGCTCCCTGAAGTGTTTGGGTGTCCTGGGGTGCACGGGGGTGCTCCCTGAGTTGTGGGGTGTCCTGAGGCGAATAGGGGTGCTCCCTGAAGTGTCCTGGGGTGCACAGGGGTGCTCTCTGAATTTTGGGGTGCACGGGGGTGCTCCCTGAGTTGTGGAGTGCCCGGGGCGCTCCTCTCCCCTCTCCCAGCGGGCCGGGCAGTGAGCCGGGGTAACACACGCCGTGTGTTCTGCAGAGCGGTGCAGCGTCCCCTCCCCATCACATCCTTCCTTCTCCCAGCTCTGTTTTTCCTGTTTGCTGGCTTTTGGCTCCCTGGGCAGCCGTCCCACGTGGTAGTTTGGGAGAGCACTGGGAGCGAGGGTAAGCCGGGAAGCCTGGGCCCGGCCTGGGGCTTTAGCAATCCCTGTCAAGCCCAGGCTGTGCCCTTTCCCCTCTGGCAGGCAGGACTTATTGCACAGGAGCTGGGGCAGGAGTGCTGGAGGGGGGGCGATAATTAACCGAGTCTTGCTTTTCTTTAGAAACACTGAGATGTGAGTCTGCACTCGGTGTTTGGGTTCACTGACTCGGTGCAATCACTGTTATGATGAGGCAGAGATATTATCTGAGTTACTTGAGCTGTGTGTGACCAGGTGGGAATATGAAGAGTTTCTAGAGAGAAATCAATAGATGTCAACCGGGAGTGGAGCTATAACTGCTCCTGGGATGAACATGTATTACCAGACATCCCCTGGGGGGCAAAGGGAGGGTGTGGAGGTGGCTCTTTGCTGCCTGACCCTGATTGGAGAGCAAGTACTCCTTCTGAAATGCGGGCCTGTTCTGTGGTAATGAACGTAAACATGAGCACTGCTCTGCATGAACTTTACAGGAAACAGGGGATCCTCCAGGAGATCCAGTGTGGCCTTCTCCCTGCTGAAGTTTTGGTGTTGTTCTTTCCCAGGCTTGTGCAAGAACCAAGTAAATGCTGCCCGGGGAAGCCCAAGCTATTAGTCACTGGACTTCACTTGTGAAAGTGAGACCAAAACAGAGGCTTTTTCTCCTAGGAGCAGAAACTGTTCCAGGAGTTTGTAGGAGCAGAACCTGAGTCATCAAGTATAGGATGTTGCAGTTGAGTAAATATTTGGTTGGAGCCATCTAGGATGTTCATGTGTTGATTGTAGCAAGTGTGAGGCTGTGACAGGCCGAGGGATTGTTGTGTGCTCTGCAAACACAGGGACCCTGTGCTGAGGGACCTGTGCTGTATCTGCAGCCAAACCCAGAGGCTCCACAACTGCTGCTAACCCACTGATAACAGATCACCCCTCTCCCACTGCGGTGTCTGAGCTCAAAACTCTGTTACTGGACTGCAGGATACCTCGAGGGCGCTCAGCACACTCGAGCTGTTTTACTGCAGAACCATGAGAAGGAATGGAGGAGTCATTCCTGGTTTGTTGTGCCACCTCTGGAATGCCAGAATGTGGCTGGCCTGAGCTCTGGGGTGCTGTGTAAGTCAAGGTAATGGTTTGCTACCTGGCAGCACAGAAATCAGCTCTGTGATTTGTTTCAGTAGCAGTTTCTCTGGAACACCCAGCACTGCATTTTTTTACTCCAAGGATGAGAGCAGGTTGGTCTGAGTCACGGCTATAAATCTCTCTAAAGCCCAAATTCTCAACTTGAGGTGAGTGCTTTTAATGACTGAAGTGACACTTAAAGGGCTGAAGTACTGAGGATGTTGGTCTGGGTTTAATTATTCCAGTGACACTCACATTGATTAGAGAGCAAAACTCCTGCTAGGGACACTTTTGCAGGAGTGAAAAGTCACATCCAGAACCTTTTGCCCCTTGTGTCAAACTGACTGACCTCTTCTTTAAGTTGTTTGTTGGTGGCAGGGCAAGCAGGCTGCAGAATGCCTTTTGCTGTTGTATTCTGCATTTCAAGAGGGAGAAATAGAGGATATGGCTGTAAAGAAATGCATCTGGGTAAGCATAAAATTCCCATTTGAATCCATTAGTAATTGTGCCAGAATGCTGTTTCCTTTTGCTGGAGGAGTGATCCTAACAGAACTGAAAGATGGGAAATAATTACACTCCAGAAGCAGAGATTCCTTAGGAATATCTCTTCCCAGTTGCTCAATGCAGGAAGACCAGGAGTGTCATGATAAGGTAGGGATTTCTGGATTCAATCCTGTCATTATGAGCAGTTCAAAGCAGTGGAGGGTGGGAGAGCCAAGCCTCTCAGACTCTTACATCCCCCATGGAAGGGCTTGGACAGAAAAATGCAGGCTGAGCACAGAGAGCCAGTCATGCTGCAGTCAAATGATCTGGTGAGCGTTGCTGTGCTAATTGCTGGCCAGGACAGATTCACATGTGGTTGTCTGGAGACAGGAAAGCACCGAGCTGGGGGTGCCTGGGAAGGTGCATGTGAGGGAGGGAGATAGACCTGGTGAAGGTGCTGAGGGGGGAAGGGGTAAATGTGCCATTGTGCACAGCTGTGAATGGGGCCAGACCAGGTGACCCCATATTTCCTGTGCCTTCAGTTCACAGACCCCAGTCAGAGATTGTGACTGCCCTTTTTGGGTTTAAACCCTTATTCCATGGTCCTTCCCTTTAAAGGAATGGGAAGCTGATATCAGTATCTGATAACGAGATCATTGATGACCACAGAAGTGAAAGTTCTGCCCATTCTCTGAAAGTTGTTGTAGCAGAAATCATTCCACTGATCTACACTGAAAGAAGTGGTACATAGTAAACATTTCACAGTGCTGGAGCTTTTGGGATGTTATTATTATTTACATGAGCTTAATGTACACACTTCAGAAACTTGCACTGCTGCCCTGTATAACCCAGGATGCAGATGAATGGAAGTCAGGAGCGAAGCGAACTTTTATGTTTTTCTTTTGTAAGTACTCCTGGCAAGAACTTCCCTGGGGAAAAAGTTCTTCTGGATGGCATTAATAAATAAACCCAAATTTTTCAGCAGTCAGAAGTGACAATCCAGGGTAATCAGTCCCTTGGGTGCATGCTTAGATACTTCAGGTGGTCCAAGTGAGCAGAGGTAAAGCAACATGAGCAGAGTATGTGTCAATTAGAACACAGCTATAATTTCATGGTTTCTTTCTTTGAAGGTGCATACCACTCATACACTGCATTTTGGGGAACATGGCACAGAGGGGGGATTCAGAGTGTGCTGGCAATTGTGTTTGGGGGGCTCTGGTGTGTGGGTGAAGTGTAAAAACTACTGTAGGGACCCAGGGTTGTACATGGACAAGACTCAACTACAGCAGTGAGTGTCTCTTTTTTTAAAACAGTTTTACATAACTCTTGCTATATACTCCCCTGAGTAATATGAAAACAAAGACTGACTCTTAAATATTTTACTTCCCCTTTCCTACTAAATAGTGAGGGGGGAAATCAGAAGAGTGGATGGAAAGTGTTGTATTTGAATATTGCTTTCACTTCTCTGTGACACACTGTCTTTAAACACTGAGTGGGAGGGAAGTGCTGCTCCAGTGAAACACCACAACGTGAGTGATCTTTCCCAGTTGTATCCATGCCCAGCTGTATCCTTGTTCAGTGTTTGTTGGAGGAGGAATTAGGAGGAAATAATTGCTGAAGTTGTGTAAAATTCCAGTGGTAGCCCAAAAGGTTGGCTGTTCCCCTGGGGCTGGGTTTTTCTGCAGTGTACTATCAGTTTTCCCTAAGGGATGCAGGTGTGTTGTGCAGACTGAGTGGTCTCTGGTAGGTTGGAGACTGTTCTGCCCAAAAGCTGTACTAAATCAACCTTGGTGCTTCATTTGGGAGATTTGTGCGGTATTAGGGAATGCTCTTAACTGAGTGAAGAAAAGGCCTTGTTAGCTAAAGACTGAAGTCTCACTTATGGAGAGAGACTTACTGGTTTGCCCTTGGTTTGTCATCCAGCAGCATGATAAACATGAATATGCTTCAGGTTATTAATCAGCATGTGCTGCTTGCTTCTGCAACCTGGTGCTTCTGTAAGGTCAGAAGTGCCTTTGCTTTGGTTCTGTTGATGCTCTTGGTTCCATAAGACCCTGGTTCCTTTTTGTGTCCTTTCTTCTGAGCATCATCTCATTTTCCATTGCTTAACTGGTGTTCCCAGGTCATTCCAACAGCTAAGATGGACTAATGCTCCCTTGCCCAAGGTGATGTTAAGAGGCTTAAGGGACTCTCTGAAGTGCTGCAGTGTTACTAATGAGGTGGGACTTGCAACCCCTGTGTTCTTTTCTGCCCCGTGGCTCAGTTCCCACGCTGGGTCAGAGGAGCAGTTGGAGTTTGGGGCTCTGATCTTTTGAATAAATACTGACTTAGACAAACTCTGAGAAAGAGTCAATAAGGAAAGATGGTCTTTCTGCTGGAAAGACTGTGTAGTTCCCTGTTATTTGTATCTCATATAACCCCCCACCAAGAGCAGCTTTGTCTGGCAGCGGGCAGTGCTTGTAAGACTTCCTTCACACCAGTCTGGAGCAGTTTTTTTAGGGTGTGCTGACAGTGCCCTTTGGAGCTGTGGTGTTTGCCAGCTCTGGATCTGTCACATTTGATGTTGTAGTGCCCATAACCAAACACCCCTGTAGGAACACTACACAGCAAGAACTTCACTTGCCCAAGTCCCTGCGTGGGCTCATGGGTTTGCTTTTGGCCTCTTCCTGCTACCATTACCTTTGTGTTAATTCTGCGTTATAGGTCTTGTTTTGTCACTCTTAACCAGTCCTGTTTGTATCCTGACTGAATGCTGTGTCTTCTGTACCTGCCCCTACCTTATGTTTTAAGTAACAGACTTTTTCA